CATACAAGTGCCTTCCGGAGTAATCTGGATGTTTGGGGAGACTCAGGCTTGCCAAGCAGTCTCTGCCTGTTAAAATTATTTTCTTCTGCTCCAAGGCACAGCTTGGCTAGTGGACCGAAATAATCTTTTTCAAGGAAATTCTCTGAAATGGGATGGGAGCTGAGGGAAAGTGTTTTCTATTTTTGTAGACATAGAAGAGAATTGTCTCTTAATAACATTCCAGTCCACAAAGCAAAACAAACAACCAAACAACAACAAGAAAACTCAACAAAAAAATGTCTAGCTTCTCACGCTCATGAGAATACCATGAGTTTACGCCCTGGCACCTCATAACCCGGAGCCATTCACAGTTTAAACAACAGAAAGAGGGGAATAGAGGACTGTCCTGTATATCATTCAGTTTGCAACACTGTAAGACAGACTTACGAAAAAGAAACTGTCATCCCAGGCAAAACCTTGAAGAGGATTAATGATAACACAGATGAATTCTGTGTGGAAAAAGAATTTTATCAGGCAAAGCCAGTTTTTGTTCCCTTAGCTTCCAGGTTCCTGAACCACATCATAGTGAAGAGTCCAGGTAAGACAAATGGGCATGTCTCCTACTGCTACCAATCCCCATGGACAAAAATATTAGAAATGAGATTCTGAAGGTGACTTTGCTTTATTTTTATTTATTTTTTTTACAGAAGAACATATCCTCCACCAGCTACTAAGACATAATAAATCCATGTTCCCCAGTTCCTTCACACCTCTAAGACACCCTTGCAGTTTCCAGGCTAGCATGTCATGTCATGCATAGTTAAACAACCATCTAGAGGAGACAAAATATTTCAGATGAAAATTCAGAAATGGTCATCATCACATGTGTTCCAACACGTGTGATGGATCATGATCTGTTCTAAGGACTTGGGACTCAGAGGGCTTCTACACCCTGAAGAGGATCCTCTGCCAGATCCTGTAACTTTCATTGGCCTGCAGTATTGCTAAATGCAACCTCAGGTGCAATAATAGATGGGTAGAGAAATTGGTGAAGCAGATCAATGTCTTAGAATAAATAATAATTTCTAGTTATCCTGCTCAGGAGTATCTGGGAACAACATCTGAATGTCATCATCCCTGCTGATGAGCAGCTTCTGATCACTGTCACCCATGAGCTGCTTGCACTGAAGGCTGGACTGATGACCGACAAACCCAGGCAGGGTCCTCAAGGCAGTGACCTCTCCAACACATTCACGGTGTTCTGAAGTAGCAGGTATGTCAGAGGTGACTACCAGAGTCTCCACTGGCAGATGATGAATAGCAGATTCTTCACCTCCCACCAGGCGGATGTCTTACAGAACGAATCTCTTCCTCTAACAGGGTGTTTCCTGGTTCTCCTATTTTGATTGGGGACCACTGTTCCTTTCTCCTGGTCCTTGACTGCAGAGGTGGGGGTGGCTCCAACACTACCTAGTATATGATTTACTGTGAGAAGAGCATATGGAAGAACACCTCAAGATGGCTCTTACGCCATGTTAAGGATGCCAAAATCCATCTGCATCACACGCAGATGCAATGGTGTGGCCTGGCTAAAATACCCTTTGGTGTAACCATGATGCTCACAATGAAGAGCTGAGAACGAAGAGAGTTTTCTGTGGTGAAGACAAAGATAGAAGTCTCAGCAAATTCAGAGTGTTTAGATGTCACGCCTATACAGCCCTTAAGGTGCCTGAGAAGTGTGACAGGCAGCCAGAAAAGACATAAGGATACTCTCAGAAAAATCTGATCTGTTTCTGCAGCTGTAACATGAGCTGAAGTCATGAAACCTTAGACTAGACTGCAGCAATGTGACAACACTGCATGTAGCACCCACATGTGACAGCTCAGAGGAGGTTACTATTGCAGATGGTTATCACGTCCAGACAAGTCACAAGAAAGCTGATGAAAGGCTCCTGGTTTTCTTCTCGGGTTGCTTACTCGTTTCCCCAAACAGCCTCGACCTGCTGACCACACTCTTCCCGATACACCCCAAGATACCACTGGCCCCCTGGTCCCCAGGGCACACTGCCGGCTCGTGGTCAACTTGTCATCCACCAAGATTTCCAGGTCCTTCTCTGCAGAACTGCTATCTAGTAGGTCAGCTCCCAGCCTGTGCTAGGGTTAGTCCTCCCCAGGTATAGAACTCTACATTTGCCCTTGCTGAACCTCACTAGGTTTCTCTCCGCGCAACTCTCCAGCCTATCAAGGCTGAACGGCAGCACACCCTTCGTTCAGGCGTACCAGCCACTCCCCGCAGCTCCCTACGATCAGCAAACTCGCTGCGGGAACATTGCGCCACCGAGGAGCGCAGCGCAGGCTCCCTCAGCCCTGCCGG